ACTCCTTGGTTCAACTCCACAATCTTTGTCGGAGGCTCCCGAGTGACACCTAGCCAATCTAGAAGACACCACTCTCCAAGAAGTAACAAATGGTGTGTTGATGATGAACTCCTTGCTCTTGTGCTTCAAATGATAGTCTCCCCAACACTCAACTCTCTCTCACAGGATATGGATTTGGTGGAAAGAAGATTTGAGTGAAAAACAACTTGGGGAAGGCTAGAGATCAAGATTCATATGGTGGGAATAGAATATCTTGGCCTCAACACATGAGTAGGTGGTTCTCCCTCAGAAAATGTGTATTGGAAGTGTAGGAATGTTCTGATGGCTCTCTCCATGAATGAAGAGTGGGTGGAGGGGTATATATATAGCCTCCACACAAAAACTAACCGTTACACACAATTTACCAATCTCGATGAGACCGAATTGAGAAACTCGGTCGGACCGATTTAGCAAACCTAGTGACTGTTAGAATTTTCGGTGGGACTGAGATGCAACTCGGTAGGACCGATATGGTTAGGGTTAGGGCATAACGTAATCTCGGTGTGACCGATTACACAAACTCGGTTGAACCGATTTTGGTAATAAGCTAACCAGAGAGTTGGTCAGGTAAACTCGGTGGGATCGATCGCTCATTTCGGTGGGACCAAAATGTTACAAAAGGGAAACAGAGAGTTTACATTGCAATCTCGATGGGACCGATTGCTCATCTCGGTAGGACCGAAATGTTACGAAGGGAAACAGAGAGATTACAACCCCATCTCGGTGTGACCGATCCCTATCGGTGAGACCGATTTACCTAGGGTTTGTGGTAGTGGCTATGACATCTGAACTCGGTGGCGCCGGATAGAAAGAATCGGTGGGGCCGAGTTTGATTTTTGGTTTAGGTCATATGTGGATGTGGGAAGGTAGTTAAGGGTTTTAGAGCATATCACTAAGCACTATGAAGCAAGAACCTCATCAAGCAACACCTCATCCCTCCTTAATAGTATTGGCTTTTTCTATAGACTCAATGTGATCTTGGATCACTAAAATATAAAATGTAGAGTCTTGAGCTTTGAGCTTGAGCCAATCTTTTTGTCCTTAGTATTTTGAGGGGTCCACTTTCCTCATCCATGCCATGCCATTTATTGAGCTTTTCCTGAAATATTAATCTTGGAATAGTATTAGCTCAATGAGCTATATGTTGTTAGGAATTACCAAAACTACCTAGGGATAGTTGCACTTTCACGCGCTACTGCTATAATTGCCACGACGCCGCCGCGAGGCTAGTTCTAGCAGCAGCGCGCTTGTATGAAGAGCGCTACTGCTAGGGACCATAGTGGTAGCGCATTTACACAATAACCGCTACTGCTAAATTTACCCCTTTGCTAAAAATATGTTACTTCTCAAACTTTCACAACCACTTGGTCTTCATTGAACTCTATGTGTAAAATTTGTGGCCGCAATATGAGTCTTCAGCAGTTCCTAAACTGATGAGGATTCATATTGATAAATCAGATTGTACACAAAAAGATTATTGATGATCAATGTATTTTTGATGTCTATTTTTACATGCTGACACATAGCAGTAGCACGCTCTTTGTGAAAGGCGCTACTTCTAGGTCGTTTAGCAGTAGCACCTTTTGCTATAGAGCGCGCGCTACTGCTAAGCCATTCCATCTCCCCCACTCTCCGACCTATCCGATCCACTCACACTCACACTCACTCGATCTCCCGCTCAACCCCCCATGCCGGTCCTCCCCCGTCGCCCCTCCTCCGATCTGCGCCGCCGCCATCTCCTCCTCCTCGCTGGACTCGGTACCAGCCTCCTCCTCCGTCCTCCCTCTAGTCGCCACTGGCCGGCCCCTCCTCGCTCCGCCTTCCTTCTCCGTCCTCCCTCCACTCGCTGCCGGCTGGCCCCTCCTCGCTCCGTCTTCCTCCTCCTTCCTACTCTCTTCTCCCTCCTCAAGTCACCCCTCCTTCTCCCTCCTCCCTCCTCCATCCACAACCCCTCCTCCCTGCTACATTTTGATTTAGTAGGCTAGTTGATTTAGTTGATTTAGAACAATTTAATTTAGTTGATTTAGTATGTAGTTGATTTACTTGATTTAGAACATCTTGATTTAGTTGATTTAGTAGGCTAGTTGATTTAGTTGATTTAGTAGGCTAGTTGATTTAGAACATTTTGATTTAGTTGATTTAGTATGCTAGTGGATTTAGTAGGCTAGTTGATTTAGTTGATTTAGTATGCACCATTTTATTGTTATTTTTCTGTACATGGATAGATAGATGCTTTTGTTTTTTTGTAATAAGTTATTTTTTGGCAAAATGTAGATGCCAATTTAGTTAAATTTGCCACTTGTTTTTTTAATCAATTATCTTAGGCAATAGGGGCCAGATGAGATGAAATGTCTTGGTAGTTGGTACCCTTATTTGGTAGATATTTGTGAAAAGTTTTTTCGGCAATAGGTGCCACCGAAATGCTTTGTCCATAAAATTGCTTCTCGCGGAAGAACCAAAAATATCATATGCTACTGTTTTTCTTTCCTGTTAAGTGAATCGTTAATCATTTGCTCATATTGCTTTAGGAAAATGGCGCCACCACCACCACCACTATGTCGACTGTGCAAGTCAAAGTGCACCAGCAGCCTTGCAACTGGCAAGTTGTTCGGCATCTACTTCCAGCCGAATTTTCGTCATGCGGCGGTAAGAAATTAGATGAAATGTAACAACTATTTTATTTTTAGTGTTGGCATTACTGCATTGTGTCATTTTGCTTTTTTTACACAGATCGTCCCACGCAATATGAGGTTGAAATTCAACAAACTGACAGGAGACACTGTGACATTTAAGGCTCCTGGGGGGCGTACACTATGGAGGTCGAGAAATGATGCAATATGTCACGGATTGGAGGAGATGGATGTGCCCGTTTCCTTGCCCACATGCGTCTTACTGGTGGTGAGTTGATCAGCTTCTCCTTCAGAGCAGAAAGACCCAAGCTGGCTGTCATTTATCTCAACCTGGTGGAAGATGATAAAGATGATGAAGATAATGAGGACCCACTCGATGAAGATGATGAGAACCCACTTAATGAAGCCATCATAGTTCAAAGAATGAGGCTGAGCGAGGAGGAGGTGTGCAACCTATGGGACATAATTCCGCCACGTGATGACTTTGTCGGGGTGCCATTCGTGACCCGCCTGGCAAGTATCATGGTCGATCGGCATGAAATGGTATGTTATACGTACTGCCTGTAGTAATTTGATGATATATATATATATATATATATATATATATATATATATATATATATATATATGTGCTTTATTGTTATACTTACAAATGCAAATTATTCGATGATATGCTTAGTGAATCCGATGATATGCTTAGTGTAGAGTCCAATGATATGCTTTGTGAATCTAGTCGATGATATGCTTTAGTGTAGAGTCTGATCACATGCTCTTATTAGTGTAGAATCCAATGAACTATTAATAGTGTAGATAATCCATATATACTTATTAGTAGAATTCATGATTAGTTAGTACAAATGTGTAGTACTGTGTCTTTTGGTAGTGTAGAAATCTAGATTTAATAGAAATATATTTGCAAGAGTATGTGCGAGGCTATTTATTAATTGATATGTTTTTCTTATTCAGAAATTGCCAAAGAACCTATCTATGAGTTGTGGTATCGAGCCTGATGAAGAAGGCTCAGCCGGACTACGCCTTACCGAAAGGGGCTCCGTCGCCACCTGTACTTACCGCATGTACACAGACGGTCGCACACACTTAAACTCGGTTGGATGGAAGAGATTCCTCGTTGGCAAGAATCTTCGTGTTGGACAGGCCATCCTAATTACTATCAGGAACACCCACCGCCCAGGCTTGAGGATGATGATCATCATCGATATCATCTAGAACTACATGTGTGTGGCTATATCATCTAGAACTACATATGATGATCGTCGTCGATATCATGTAGAACTACATATGATGATCGCCGTCGATATAATCTAGAACCACATATGATGATCGTCGTCGATATCACCTTGTACTGCTTGAGGATGCATGTTGAGTATATATGAAATTATTATCTAGTACTCCCTCAGAAGTAATTTGGAACCTAGTACCTATAATGCTTTATGAAATTGATATCTAGTAGTACCTAGTATCTGAAAATTGCTGTTTATTGAAACTGAAACGGGGTAGGAAGCTGGGAGAAATGATGAAAGATATAGCAGTAGCGCGGGGCAAGGAAATCGCTACAACTAATTAATAGTAGCACGTTCTGAAAATGCGCTACTGATACAGTCCAGAATAGTAGCGCGTGTACAGACCGCGCTACTACTAACAGTTAACTGTAGCGCCTTATTGGTAGCGCGGCTGCCCGCGCTGCTAATAGCCCAAAACCCGCGCTACTACTAGGGTTTTCCCTAGCAGTGTGGGTTGAACGACGACAATTACAGCTCCATGGCACTGACCCTTAGGTGCACGTGCACGAAGTCTTTGTGGCTGTCATCGACAAAGTTAAGCCGCTCCGGTATGGGAACAACGACAACCATGCGTCGGCGGCTCGTTCTGGCGGCGGTATCGGTCGTTCCGTGGTCTCGTAATCTTTATGTAATCTTTATGTAATTTTTATTATATTTGAGATACTTTATACTTCGGGCCAATTTTTATAACAGACCTGATCATTTTTGCACTTCTTTATTGCGACTAATTAGCAAGAGACCATCAATAATCTCACCTACGAAGGCCAAGAATGAGCAGGGCAGCTCAAGGAAAAAAGAACCAACAGGGGAGAGGAGAGGACGGCTGTGCCGCACCGACGAGGGAGTAGAAATGCGCCGCACCTGACCTCACGGTCACGGGCCCAAACGCCGTCACTCTGCTCAGCTCCAGCTCCCCAATCAAGCTCGCCAAAAGCCCTAGCCCGCGAGCTCCGGCGGCCACCGCTCCCTCCCTCCCCTCCCCCGCACGACCGGCGCGGCCTCCGTCCGTCCCCTCAATCGGGGCCGAGCAATGCCCCGGCGGCGGCCGAGGGCCGGGGAGAAGCGGATGGACGCCGCGATCGACCACTTCGCCGAGATGGGATACCGCAAAGCCGACGTCCGCCGCGTCGTCAACAAGCTCCTCAAGGTCTGCGCCCCCCCTCCCCTTCCCCATCTACCCGCTTCTTCGCCGAGAGAAAGAGAAAGGGTTGTCTTTTGGGTCCGGCGACCGGCGGAATTCCCTCAAAGATCGGCGCTTTGCCGGGGACACTCGTGCGCGAATGTCGCGGAGCAGAGGCCTTTTTTCCCACGGTTAATTTTGTCAGCCGATTCGGGAGTCGATGCCGATTCTTGCGATTATCTCGGCCTTGTCTGCTTCCCCTAACGGAACTCAACCACCCAGGGATTGGATTGATCCCCTGCATGTCACCAAATCCCCACCCAGGCCAGATCCCCTCTCCACATTCTCGTTTGGTTCCCCAGGCCCAATCCCCCTTCCTCAAAATTGGTTGTAAGAATGCTGCTACAGTATTATTTCCTACTGGTTTAATTTCAACGGACGAACAAGTGAACATACATTTTCCATCTCAGCAAGCTAACATATGCAAGGTTACCTGAAATACAATTGTGTACAAGTTCTTTTTTTCTGGAAATCCATGGAACTTGCCCATCACCAATCTCAACAATGCTAGGCAAGTTGGTGGATCAGCGCAAATGAGTAGTACCTCTCTGCTCTGTTCATCTTGGACTTGGTTTTGTCGCAGCAATGTTGTTCTCACACCTCGAGGAATATCTGCACAAAAGTTAGAGACGTCAAAAAACACAAAATAGTCCAAGGATGCATGAGAGGATTTTCCAGAACATGCCAATATAACATTTATTTGATAGGTAGTGACAGCTGTTGTGGTTACATCAGATTTCAGTAAGTTAGTTCGCTGAAAGACAAGGCCACCTTTCAGTAATTATGTACATGTGGAATTAGTAATATAGAACGGTGGCAGAGGCACGTATCCGCATATTTAGCACGTTCAGCAAGTCATCTACACTACACAGATGCCAATAATAAAATAGAAGTAAAGCTAGAATCAGGTTTAAACCAATCAAATTGTAAACTGAAGCTTTGTAATTTAGCACATAACTTCAGCAGAAGAACTGACCATTGCTAATAGTAGACAAGTACTATCTATGTCCTTCCCAGCTGATCGTTTTGACTTCCGGGTCTCCCTTGCTTCTTCAGTTGGCCTCTTCTCCTGGTTCAACACCTTGAATGCGTCTTTCAGGTGAAGGAATCTCAACTATTTCCTCCTCTTCATCATCGAAATCTTCTTCAGCATCACTTTCCCCGTCTTCTTCCTCATCATCGTCACTTTCTGAAGCCTCCCCCTTTTCATCCAGTTCAGCCATCTTCCCTTTCTTCACCCTTTTCCTCCTCGCAAGACTTGAAACCTTGACCATCTTCCTCTTTGAGCGCACATCGCGAACTATATCACCAATAAGCTGAGATGAGCTCCCTCATCTAGAAGTGGTTCGATTCACTCCTCGAGTTGTTCATCCAATCCATGATTGGGTTTGTTCATCATATTGAGTAAGATTCATCATGAGAGCACATGGATCGACCTCCGTATCTTCTCGATAAGTCTCATTTTGCTGAAGGCGGGGCTGCAGGTTGGAATGTGTGTACACCAGCTTTGTCAGCTTAATGTAACTTTGCATATTTCTCACTTTGCTATGGATTAACGCGAAAGTACTCCAATTGCACTCACGCCCAGTCGATGACACACAATGAGACACAATGCACATCGCATACTTCAGCAGCATGGGCACTTCTCCACCATATTGAGACCACCAAGTGGTTGCAAGATAGAAACACCATAAGTCAGCAAAAGAGAAGATACCACATTCCAACTCCCCTAAATTCTGTAGCTCACTTACCTGGGCTAGATGCTACGAGCTGTGCCATCACTCCGCCGAACTTTCCTTTATTGGCATTATAAAACACAAGTTCATCCATAGCCTTTGCTCCAGACTGTGGTGTAGCCGCCATCTTTGCTATTACATCTAGGAGTTTATCGATATAGGCTGGATCTTTGTCAAATGCAAATGAATAGTGTGATTCAGGATCAAGGACAGCAGCTACAAATGCAAAAGGTACATATTGGAATAGGAGCTACATGATAAATGAAGGACAAGAGCTACATATTTGTCAACTAAGAGTTTCAGCACAAAGGGGGTACCTGCAAGCATCAACGTGTCGCCGTACTTATGCTGAATCCTCGGGCCCACCTTACTCATGTAATTTTCAAATTCATATGTATCCTTGCCGAGTTGAGCTGTCAATTCCTGAACAGCGGTCATCATCCTTGCTTTAAGACCAGAAACGGTCACATCCTTCTGTTGATCAGCATACCGTAGTAGACTATATGTGGCTGCACTGTATCTAGGACCCTCTTGAGGTCGTTCCACCATTCACTACTTGTCAGACATGCTTCTATATAGTCAAATTCTTCCTCAGTTTTCCAGTCACTATTTTCCCATTCATCTGACACCATCCATTGCCGAAACTTGTCTTTCTTATCATGTATCCTTTGCAGGGAAATAAAACAGTTGGGTGGTATTAGGATGGATCAACTCTCCACCAATCTTGTCTCCCATATCAGAATGCAGCCGGTTGTGATTGTAGAAGAAGCTACTAATCTTTTTCGCACTTTTGAGAACTCAGGCAACCTCATAATATTTACCAATGTCCTTTAACATAAGGTTGATTGTATGAGCTGCACAAGGCTGCCAATATTTCTCAGGGTGCTCTTTGACGAGATCTTTGCATGCCTTTTTGTGGTTCAAACCATTGTCCGCGACAATTTGGACAACCACCTTCTGACCAATTTCATCGACAACGAACTTCTTGATTTCCTTGAATATGAATTCTGCATGAACACTGATGTTAAATATTGCATGACAAGGAATAGAGCATAAATATGACTGCAACACGAAGCATTTTCATTACCTGAATTCTGGATTCGACCAGTTGCATTGACAGTCTTGTGAAAGAACATGGCCCCATTGCAATAGACCATGAAGTTGATGATGCTCATGCCAGTAGGTCCTGTCCATGAGTCGCTCATGATAGTCACACCAAAACAATCCCAATCTTGCTTCATGTTCTCAACGAGAACCCTCATTTCCATATAGTTGGCATCCAAATATATCCCATCAACTTCATATGCTGTAGGCAAGTGCTTTACTGCATGTAGCTCTTGTCTCAACATCAGCGCTGCTCGAAATGAAGCACAATTGATTTTCCGTCCAGGAATATCATTAGTGTGGAACCATTTGGCCCAAGCTTGACCAAGTTTTGCTGCATTTAGCTTTTGATTTGAGAAGTCAATCCTTGGCTGGCATCCCTTGGTTTTCTTTCCACTAGCAGGAGTCCTAGTACTACCATCTGCAGGACTAAGAGAGCTCTTACGCTGAAGATATTGAGTTATCTTTCCAGTGGCAGGAGTTGTAGGACTAGACACTAGACTCGCCGTTGCTGCTGCCACTCCTGGACCCGACCTCAAATCTACTACTCCCTCTGTTCACTTTTATAAGACCTTCAAGATATTTCAGACAATGTACAAAACAGCCCATTTTGAGCTGTCTGAAATGACTTACAAAAGTGAACGGAGGGAGTACCCATATTGATTTCTCCCTTTCCAACCTTACATGGTCCTCTTCATCACTAGCAGGATCAAGATCAATTATTGGACTTCCACCCATTTCCTATAGACGCTCAAGTTCCAATCTTAGTTTGCCGGCTTGTACCTTTGACCTTTTCTGTTTGTAAACCAGCCAATCCTTCCTCATTGCAGCTTGTACCTCGGAGAGCACATTATAGCAGGCAACCACTGATCCTCCCAACCCACCTAGATGTCCCTTTAGGCGGGTTGAGCCTCCACCCCGCCTCTTCAGACCACAATAGTGACATGAAAATCCTTGCCTTCCATAATTCGCAGCATGGCTCCAGGTATCAGTAATATCCCCAGTGAAATATACCATGCATTTTCATCACATCGTCAATAGAGCCATTGCACGAATTTCACATTTTACAAAAGACAGCAAGTTAATTTATCACAAAGAATATATAATGTCTTGCATGAACAACATACGCATTGTGCTCCACAATAATATGCATCATCGGCATAAACCGCATGCTAGCATACAACACCGCAAAGGCTTGGAATGTGATCAGAATAACAATTGACCATAGAAAACAACAAAAAACACAAGCTAATCAATGGCATAGGTAAATACACAAAAGTGCCAAAGAATCACAAGACATCTCTGCACAAACCATCTTAGATGTTTCATCATAGGTAATGTAAGTATATGACAATCATTTTTTAGGACCACGAGTTATAGTTACTCAATGGTGTGATTACATTCAGCTAGCATCGATATTCAGAGACAGTTGCTACTATGATTTGGTCTCCGACACTTCTCGCCGTGGCCGCCAATTCTTGTGCAAGAGCATTGCATGTTCTTGTAAACACTATGGCGCAGTGAGTAGCGAAGGCAGAGGCTTGATTAATGTCTGCCACCAGAGAGAAACACTTCGCTCGGTTCTTTCCTTTATAGTGCAGTTCCTTGCCGACAGTAGTGCAGTGGATTTCCAAAGTGACCACCCCCCTGTACAGTTTGCCAATTCCTTCAGACCAATTAATGCCGCCTCCGCTTCTGCTTCTTCTACAGAGGAGCATTTGTTTAATTTCTGGCACACTGCAACAAAGACTTGGCCACAGTGGTCTCTAGCAACTGCACCAATCCAGCTTTCCCCTGTCTTCGGAATGTAAGATGCATCTGTGTTTAGTTTAACCATCCCTTTCGCTGGTGCAGACCAATGATCGCTAGCAGGCGCTGTCGGATTGCTGGACCTATGGGGATACAGAGACCAGTGACATTTATCTTTCTCAGTCACATCACTGTACAGCGAATCATTTACGTCCTCCTCGTACCTGACTAAGAAATGCACAGGACTCGAAACTGTGTCCTTTCCATCACCATGTATAACATTGTTTCTCAGGTGCCAGGACTGCCAAAGAATCAAAAGGATTCTATTTCTGACAGTGTCAGATTTCGCATCAAGTAGCAATTGGAGCCCGAGCCTCCAGTGTCGGCGCCGCCGGCATGAAAGGGGATTTTCCAGGATTTGGCGTTTTATGTACAGATGTGAGGGCACGGGAGAGACATATTAGCATTCACGGGCCTTGGGGGAGCTAGTTTTGGGCTTTGGCCTGATTTTTTGCCACCAAAGGTGGCCCTGGCGGGAAATGACTTTGGAGGCCGAAATTGTTGAAATAATTTAACAAAAATGCTATATTTCAGTACTTGCTGAAATTAATAAATTTCCAAAATTTCATTGAAATTGAAAACCATGGTCCTGATTAATTCGGCCTCGTCTGTTTAGGATGTGTATGGGAAGGATGGGTGGCCGTTGCTGGAGGACAGTTGTTACTCCGTAGTGCAAGAAGCGCTCTTTGAGTTGGAGGAGCAGGAGAAGTTGCAGCAGCAGCAGAATGAGGATGATGATGGTGACGATGAGGGGGAGGAAGCTCATCTGGTGAGGGCGCTCTCCACATACTCTCTTGTGTCCATGTTAATTGCTGTGTGTGCCATTGGTACCAATTTATACCACTCTGCTACCTACAGACTAATATATTCAAGGCAGTGTTTCTTTAATTGGTAACTGTCATCCCATGCCAAAAAAGAAACTTGCTCAATAATACATGTCATATGTACTAATTCCTCATCTTGTTCGCTTTAAGGCATTTAGTTCGAGAAAAAGGTTGGTCCTAGTACATGAATGATAATTTATGAAGTATTTGCAGGAGCCGCAGCAGGAGGAGGTGGAGGAGGAGGCTCCGGTAAGCTCCCTCTCCATTTACTTTCTTGTGTCTGTTTTCACCTAAAAGCTTGTTTATTCATAAAACTGACAACAATGCCATCTGAAAGAAGTGGTCTGGTTGATGTCTTCCATCATTCCTTTGAGCTGACATAGTTGACTGATGAATTGGCATTGTACATGTTAGCATTGCACTATGTAGTATTTTCTCAGTTGGTTTTGTAATACAACTTCAACATGTTGGCCATCAGTACTTCTGCAATAAGGAAACATTTATGGTGCACAAACTGCTGTTACTTATGAAAAATTAGATTTACCTCTAAAACAAGACCTTGTCAAGAATGTCTAGTTGTGGTTACTTCTTCCCTCCAGCAATAAAGCTTATGCATACTGTCCAATTCTTACGTGGGGCTTTGGTTGGTAATGCAGCAGCAAGAAGTAGCAATAAAGGAGGAACCGTCAGAAGAGTTCGTTCCCATTGCGATGGTTGTACCACCATCTGAGGCTGTGGTAGCAGTTGAGCAGACGGAGGAAGCGGAAAAGGCCCCCCTGCTCATCGACCCACCTTCTCCCAGAGCTGCGTCGCCAGATCCGTTAGCTACAGGAACTAAGCGCAAAAGGCCCCCCTGCTACGGATGGATCTCTGAGTCTGAGAGTGACTCGGACTATGAGGAATATGTTGCACGTCGACAGCAGCGGGTGCAGGTCCCGGCCAAGTAGACGGGCTGTAAGTGAAGCCACTTAACAGGTGCCGTTTTTGTTATCCGGTCTTCCTTTGCTATCTTAAAACTGGGTATTTATTAGTAGCCAAACTTCTATTAGTAGCCAGTAAGTTCATACTGTTGTTACTGCTCTCATGCTTTTGATCAAATTAAGATACCCCAGGATTCACACTTCCTTGGTTATGAACACAAACGTATCATAACACAGATTAAACGGTAAAAGCAAAACTTTTATGACACTGACAGGAGTTGAAGATTGCCCTGTGGAAAATTGTTATGATGAAGCCCCCCTGTTGGAAATGCTAACTAACCATCGTTCTTTCGTTGTGACAGAGAGGGGGCTGATGCAAGGCGAAAGCAGGGGAACCGGCCTAATCTGCAGAATTAGTATAAGGCCAGTACTCTATATTGTTAATATGGACTATGGAGTTGTTGAATTTGCAATGGCACCATGGCTCTAGTTTGTGTATATATACGTAAACCATGGACTCTGGAGCAGACACTATGAATGGCAGGTGCCGCTCCCATGGAGCATGCAAGAGCAGCATATATGGATGCTTCTGACTGTAATTGGGTAGTAATGTGCTAGCGTGGCTTGGCCGTCGACCACTATAAATCGCATGCTAGGATTGGCCTGGTTGATTGAATATGTCTGAACCAATGTGGTTTATGGTTTATCTATGCTTGAAAAAGCTTGCTATTATTTTTCATGTGGCTCAATGTTTCCAATGCCGTGTAACCTACATGGCCGTGGGATTTTGGGAGCATATCTGTTGTGTTTACTGGTGTTCTCTAAAAGTTGATTTCTGCCTACAGTATGTTAATTCCTTACTTTGTCTGGCCTGATACATAAGCTACTCATGAGCTCCTATACTATTTCCTTGATATGCTTCCATGATACTCCCCCGTCCCATAATATAAGAATGTTTTTGACTTCACTACACGGAGGCAGTAATAAATGTTAGACTAATTGCTTAGGTTATGCAACTGCTAATTGGATCTTATCTAATACAGATGAACACTACTTGATTTGATGTGAAAATTAGTGGATAATATTGTGTTTATACCTCCGTTTGGAGAGGCCATCTTGGTGGAGGAAATGGAGTCCGATGACAAACTGCAGCAGCGTAGTAGATCACTCCGGCACCTCGCCGCAGCGTAGTAGATCACTCCGGCACCTCGCCGGAGCAAGGACAGGCCTTCATGTCAATGTCGAGCGCACTCTCGATTGGATTTGGAGTGAATTTCGGAGGGCACTGTTATCCTAAGCGATACGACGATCAAATAGATGCAGGGATGCCCTCCTTTATGTATAGCGCTGTATATGACATGGGACCTAACCATATTAGTAATTAGCCCCACAATCTGGAACATGAAATTAAGTAATTCACAGAAGAGGGTTCGACCATACAAAAATAAATCTGGAAGAGCAATCATGAAAATCGGCGTAAATATGCTCAAAGGTTATTTCGATCGGCACTCACTTGCTAGAGCCGCCGCTCCATGTGCTCCCTAGCCGGATAACCACCACCACATTTGGGGTCGTGAGGGGTAAGAGGGTGCTTGCTTGGATACGTTTTAATCCCATGATTAAAAGTAGTGGGACTAAAACTTGCTAGCCTCACCCATGTTTGGATCCAAATACTAAAGAGACTAAAATTAAGTTAATGAACATTTATTATCCTCCAAACCCTCTAATCCAGAACTCGCATGTGTTAAAGGAGAGGAGTTAAATGAGGAGAGAGATGACTAATTCACATTTTAGTAGGGGTACCCTTGACTAAAAAATTTTAGAGGGTGCTTGGATACGTTTTAGTCTCATGACTAAAAGTAGTGGTACTAAAACTTGCTAGCCTCACCCATGCTTGGATCCAAATACTAAAGAGACTAAAATCAAGTTAATAAGCATTTATTATCCTTCAAACCCTCCAATCCAGAATTCGCATGTGTTAAAGGAGAGGAGTTAAATGAAAAGAAAGAGGACTACTCCACATTTTAGTAGGGGTACCCCTGACTAAAACATTTTAGTCTCAAGACTAGTTTTAGCCCCTCTTTAGTCAGGGGTGCTTGAAACTTTAGCCTCTTAAAAAAATTATTTTTAATCAGACTAAAATAAGTTTATTGGATCCAAACACCCTCTAAGTAACCCACCAGCGCTGCTCCCTAGCTTGACTGTAACTAACACACCTAGTCCCGAACTACTGTGTTTGCTTGTATTTCATCAGTGTAGTTAGCTCCTGACGTAGTTAGGGTAGTGGACGAACCTGCGTTTACGTGTTCTCTCTCTCTCTGTATACATACGGATTTGCTATTTTAGAGTCGACTGTTATTCAATTCGCCAACATTCGAATTTGCTATTTTAGAGTCGACTGTTATTCAATTCGCCAACATTCAAATCATTGGCCGCCCGCTGTTGCATGGAGATTGGCGCTTGGCTGTCTGATTTCGGGCTTGTTTTTTTCTGTCGGGTCCGTTTTTTTGTTCCAGCCTGTTACCGCTCCGCGCCCCTCCCCCTTTCATTTGAGCGAGGTAGATAGAGGAACAGGCGCTCGAGCAGTGGATGTGATTCCTTCCTGTTCATGTCGATTCCGCGATCCCCCACCTGTGGAGCTTGATTTCTCTCTCACTTCTCTTCGATTCTCGCCTCCCGCTGTTGGTTGGTCTCTCAATTTCTCTCTCGACTGCGTGATTTTTGTTCATTTCTCGGTGTGTAGCTTCCAAATCTGGGGTCAGTTGCTGATGTGATTTAGTTAGGGTTCGTGTTAGGTGTGTGTTGTGATCCCAGGCCATGTTGTTGTAGATTCATGGTAGGCGTGCTTGTAGTTTTATGGTTCGTTCTGCTTCGCGCTGTCCGCCATCGTTCCTTGTCTGCTTCGTGGTGTCCGCCATTTTTGTTCCTCGTCTGCTCGTGGTAGGATCATGTGTGGTTAGTTTTGTGATTCAGATAGATGTATGGATCAATCATAGGTTTTGAGACGGGAGTTTTTGTGGTTTGTGATTTGTGTTGGTAGGTGGTCTATTTGTTCGCTGGTAGATGGGTGTTTCCTCCTCTGGGCGTGTTGGTTCTACGGTTTCTAGATGTTTATAGATGTAGTTAGGTTCCTCCTTTGCCCTCTGCCGCAGGCCCCCTTTGGCATGTGAGTGCATAAATCCCTGTTACTGTAGGTTTAGTTGTTGTTAGGTTCTTCCTAGCTACCCAGAGTGTCAGTGCTCTGGTTTTTGATGTGTCATTCTGTGGTGTAGCCCTGTACTAGCCTTGGTGTGATTTTTATGTGCTTTTGCAATGTAATCCCTTTAAGCTTCTCATTCTTTTAATGCCTTGGGAACTGTGTATCTAACGCAGGTTTGTATATTTTGCTTCTGCTGACTGTTGTTATGTATCCCCATAGTTTCAGTGTCATATACACTAGAATTACTGAGTATTTTGTCTCAGACTTACTGTGTAATCCCCATAGTTCTAGTGTAATACACTATGCAAATTGCACTATATTTACTGTGCCCATAGTTTCAGTGTTTTTTCACTCTAGAATTACTAGTATTTACTGTGTATTTTGCCCGATTTTTACTGTGTAATTCATCATGTAGTTTCAGTGTAATTTACTATAGAATTACTGTGTAATTCATCTTGTAGTTTTAGTGTAATTCACTATAGAATTTCTGTGTATATCATCCTATAGTTTCAGTGTAATTCACTATAGAATTACTGTGTAATTCATGTCGTAGTTTTACTATGTAATTCACTCTAGAATTACTGTGTAATTCATCCTGCAGTTTCAGTGTAAATCACTCTAGAATTACTGTGTCATGTTCACTCTATAATTATTGTGTAATTCGTCCTGCAGCTTCAGCGTAATTCACTCTATAATTGCTGTGTAATTTGCCCAATAATTACTGTGTAATTCATCCTATAGTTTCTGTGTATTTGTCCCTTAGTTCGGTGTAATTTATGCGAGTTACTGTGTAATTTTAATGTTTCAGCTATGTAGTTCCTGACATTTTATATGGGCCCTGATTCCAGTGTAATTTCCCCTAGAATTATGGTGGTTTATATATGTATTTACAGTGTATTTTCTCACATTTTTGCAGTGTATTTATCTTGGTTTAGTTATGTAATTCCTGAATTTTGCCTTTTTTTTTAATTTTTGTATTACTCTCTCATGCTAATTTTCATTGTAGTCTTTCTTCCCAATTTTTACACTGTACCCCTAGTTTTACCGTGTAATCGCCTTGCTTATCATATGTATTTACAATGTAATTTTTGCCTTAATTTCAGTGTAATATTCATGCTTTTAGCTCTGTAATTTATAGGTTTTAGTTTAATGGGTAAGCTTCGGAAAGTCTCTCACCAGGACGTTCCGTTAGTATCATCTTTCGAGAGTGCAGATTCTGTTCGTGAACCATTCGTGCCTAATGACTTTGCAGAAGATGGACCGTATCTGATGTATATGGTAGTTATTTCTATCTTATTTTTCTAGTTATTTTTTTTCAGATTATGTTATCAGTTTTATTTATTTTGGCTGTGTTGTCTTTTTTTTCTTTTTTCTTCAGAATTTTCTGGTGATGAAGGATCCTTTGACAAAGCTCTTTTCAAGTTTTATGTTAATCAAGTTTGTTTCTTTTTTTTCTTTTTCTTGTGCTTGTTGATTATGTTGTTGGTTATAGGGATGTCATGTGTCCTAGGTCTAGGGATGTCATCCAGACTTATTGTTCTCGTCATGCTCCCAATCTGCAATTTTGGAAAAGAAATGTCAGTAATAGTACAACTAGCAGTTGTATTTTAACAGTGTAAATACAATAGGTTTTTTCCAGTGTAAGTTGTTGCATTCTTACATTGATACATTGAAATTTCTATGGAGTAATTTATATGCAGTTTGCACTGTAATTCTTGGTCAATTGCAGTGCATTTTCTTAGCCAGTTTTAGTGTAATTTTTACAACTATCAATGTCACAGTGTCATTTATACAAACTATCATTTTGCACTGTAATTCTTGGTGTGCT